CTTCTTGTGGCTGTGGTAAACACCCTGGCAAAAGCAACTGAAGGGAGAAAGGGCTTGTGTGGGCTCAGGGATTCAGACGGGAAGGCTCAGAATGGAAGACAGGATAGCAGTCAGAGAATGAATGGCGGCAGGAGCCAGCGTGCGCTGGTTACTTTGTATTGTTGACTTAATACAGCCTGGAGTGACCTGGGAAGCGGGAACTCAACTGAGGAGTTGTTAAATCAGGTTGGCCTGTGGTCAAATTCTGCCAGGGTTTGTCTTGTCCATGGTTGATGTGGGAGGGCCCAGCCCACTGTGGGCAGCACCGTTCCTAGGCCGCTAGGTCTGGGATGTATGAGAAAGCTAGGCAAGTATGAGTCGATGAGAGAGCCAGCAAGCAGCATTCCTCACGTCCGCTTCAAGTCCATGCCCTGATGGAGTTCCTGCCCAGATTTTCCTCAACAATGGTCTGTGATGTGAACACATAAGCTGAAATAAATCCTTTGCTGCCCTCAGTTACTTTTGGGTGCAGGGAGCTTGTTTGTTCATTCGTTTGTTTGTTTGTTCATTTGTTTGTTTAATCACAGCAATAGAAAAGCAAACGTGAACAAGGAGGCTGGCTGATCACATCGCACCCACCCTCAGGAAAGAGAGAAAGGACAGGAAGTAGGGCTAGGCTTCCCATCCCCCACCCTGACTCACCTCCTCCAGCCAGGCTCCACTTCCTGAAGGTTCCACGACTTTTCCAAACAGTGCCACCAGCTAAGTGCCCAAGTGTGTGAGCATGAGACTATGGGGGACGTTTCAGGCTCAAACCACAGCACGGAGTAAGCAGGTGGGTTACTGAACAAATCGGTGGATGAATGGCCCCAGGTACTCTGGGTGGACGTGAAGAAAAGGAGGAGAAAGCCCTACTCCTCGGCAGATGAGCATTACCCAGTCAGGGAAGGCTTCTCAAGGGACGACACCTCGGAGATCATAAGAATGTGGTTGAAGAAATAGCATGCACTCAGTGAGTGCACCATGCGCTCCTCAGGATTAACTCGGAAGCTGAACGGAACTGACTGCATTGTTTTCCCAATTAGGTCACAGATAATTAGCTATTATATAGCAAACCCTCAGCATGATTTTAATAATCGCTATTTAAATAACACATTTCCACTGTCTCCTTACAAATTAACCTCAGGGAGACGTGATTAATACAGACATGGGAAGGCTTGCTGTGCGGCCTGGGATTGGAAAGAGGCAGAGGCTGTCTCCGTGGCTAAGCAGGAAGACCCCAAGTCTGGGGACAGAGCTTAGGTTGAGGGAATTCAGAAGCCTGGGGTCCCAGAGACAGGGAACTCCTTCCCCACTTGCTCACCCACCTTGATACAGTAGGATGCTCCATAAGTTCCCATGATGTCAGGAGGAGCCCTGGGACAGTTGGTGTTAGTCACGATCACCCCAGACGATCACCCCAGATGATCACCCCAGACGGAGGCTGGGAATCATCTAGGCTCCCGCTCTGAGCATCAGCTTGGGTCTTTGGTGCAGCATCTGGCTTGAAGTAAGCACCCAGGAGAGACTAGTTGAGCTTCTCCAGATTCAAGGCTCAGGGAACATCATAAAAGGATGAGCATAAAGTATTTAAGAGCTGGAGCAGGGTATGCTTTTAATCCCAGCAGGTGTGGGAGGGAGAGTTCCACTGGGCTTCACCTGGTCTGGCTCCAGAGTGCTAGCACCTAGCCTTAACTCATCCTTTGTTTCCAAGTTGTCCTTTGTTTCTCTTGTTGCCCTGTGTGAAATTATCTGAGAGCTTTCCCAAAACACAATGCCAAGTGCAAATTTCTAGATTCATCAGGTACCATAGTTTTCCAGGTTTCCTGAACCAAGTTTTGCATAGGCTTTGTATCTTTGGGTGTATCCTTGTAGTATTTCTCTCTCTCTCTCTCTCTCTCTCTCTCTCTCTCTCTCTCTCTCTCTCTCTCTCTCTTTCTCTGTGCATATACATATATATGTATACATGTGTGTAAAATGGCCTTGATCTGCACAAATTGCTCTTAAAGCAAAGATATATGTGTACATACATATATGTGCATGCATACATATATACATACACACATACATACATACATACTTGAGCTGGAGAATATCTGTGAAATACTGTCCTCTGACCACAACAGTAGCTACAGTTGCTTGCATAAGATCAAACCAGTCATAATCCCAGCATGCATTTGGGGGGGCCTCTTTGGAGGTCTCACCCCATCTGAGGAGCTATTGATAGTCAATGGGTGCTGAGAGAATGAGTCTCACTTTTCTTTGGAAAATGTGGTCACTGGTTGATTGACAGTGCCCCAGTGGATGGCCTCAAGCCCATTTGCATATGACCAGCACTGACTGGACTCAGTAGGTAGGTTGGTGGATCCTCTGTAAGGGGCAGGTTGTAGTGACGTAGTTGGAAGTAGATAAAACCAATAAATATTGAATACATGCATGAAATTTTCAAAGAATAAAAGTATTATTTTTTAAAAAGACTAGTTGAGGGAGTGGAGCTTATTCCTATATTGTGTGCTTCCTAAACTGCCTTTAAGCTCAGCCTGCTTGACAGACAAGTGACACATTCCTGGTCACCGGATTCTTTGGTGTCTATGGTCCCTCTACCCGCCTGGCTCATGGGCAGTTTGGCTCCCATTGTATTCTTATGTCTGCCTGACTCTCTGCCTCCCCACCTGATGCCTTAAGACTTAAGAAAGCTGTTGCCCTGTGTGGCACAAGGCTTCATGGGCTCCCAGAGGTGAGAAACTGCTAAATCAGACCCTGAGCAAACTGCACCCCAGCTTCCATTTGGACCCAGGGCTCTACCGCAAGAAGGTCAGCAGGGGTCTGGCCTGGTGCCACCCACCCCCTGGCAGGGCCCAGTCTTAGTGTGCAGGCCAAGCACTGCACTTCCAGGCTGCGTGTGTCTGCACCAGGAAATGTCTGCTGCTTCCAGAGAGAGGGCAGGCTGGAGAAGGGCCGGCGCCTGGCAAGCACGTGGGAAATCCTCCTCTTGACTTGGCTGCATTCTGCAAAGCGGGCTTGATCTGCACAAATTGCTCTTAAAGCAAAGAGCTCTAAAAAGAAAAAAAAAATGAGAAATGGAGGTGGCGCCTCTGAAATGTGAGCCAGCTCCTTTTAGATGGCGTGCGTGGGCAAGCACAGTGCCTGGTCTGGCATGGTGCGCATTTCCCACTGGCAGAGTGGAATCTCGGGTTAAGGGGCTGAAGGCTTGAGGATATCACTGTGATGCCAGAGGCTTGGATTTTCACAGGTCTGTCCTCAGAAGACTTTGACCTTCAGGGGTCTGGCAACAAATCTTCACTCAATGTCACAGAGTCCCCTTCAGAGATGGAGCCCAATCATGGCACAGATTGACCACAGAGGGAGAGCCAGCTGGTCTCATGGGATGGAGGGATGAAGATGACCTAATATTATTTATGAGCTGAATTGATCAGTTTGGCAAATGTTACAACTAATACGGTTGTGAAGGTTCTTTCTTCCTTTCCTTCCTCTTCCTCCTCCTCCTTTTCTTCTCCTCCTCTTCCTCGTCTTCTTTGAACTAGTGATAGCTGTATAGCCTAGACTGACCTTGAGCTTTTGACCCTCCTGCTTCGACCACCCACATTCTTGGATTACAGGCCTGAAGTTTCACACCTGCTCTGTGCAGAACCAGGGATCAAATTCAAAGCCTCATGCGTGGCAGGCAAGCGCTCCACCCATGCAGCCAAGTCCCAGCCCCAGCTGAGAGATTTCAATGTTGCAGCCATGGCTCTGCCCATTAACATACTTCATCCTCATGGTGGTTTGATGAAAGGACGGGAAACATGAAAAAAAAAGTAGGTAGGTACTTGTTCCCTCTGTCCACCAGGCTTTTCCAGTCTTCATCATATGATGCATTCCCAGCAGCATCATGTGTGGTGGTTGATACGGTCACCTGGACAGGATGTGGAATTACCTAGAGACAAGACTCTAGATCCCCCTGGGAGGTGTTATCTAGATGAGGTCAACTGAGTAGAAAAACCCACCTTAACTCCTGGGGTGTCCCAACGTATGTATGGAAAGAGGGAAGTTCTAGTGTTTATATCTCTCTGCCTCCTAACTCCATGAGTGCAAAGCCACCTCAGGCTTTGCCACCATGATGTCCCTGCTGTGGTGGACTGCACCCTTGGATTGGGTAAACTCTCCCTGTCTTACGTGGCCTTTGTCAGGTGTCGTCACAGCAATCAATAACTAGGACACCATGTGAGGGCTCAGTCCTGTGTCCTCGCCAACACTTGTTATCTTTAGCCTTTCTAATTTTAGCTTGTGTCGCAGGGCCCCGATGGCATCACCTGGTGGCTCTAATCACACTCCCTTGATGACGAAGGGTGTGGAGAGCCTTCTCTGGCACTCGTGGGCCATTCATACATCTTCTTCTTTGATGACTTTTTAATGAAAAACACATTTGCATCCAAACCAAAATTATATTGTCAGCAGTTAATTATCACTTGTCAAACAAGCGTGCGCCCAGATTGTGGGTTTAATTTCCACGTCCCTCTGCAAACGCCTCATTCCTCTCATTTGACAAGACCTCTCCAAGCAGACACACTCATTGTTGGAAAGGGTGCTTTTTTAAATGTGGTTTTAAAAATAAATAGGTTTCCTTGGTGTCTGAGTCAGAATTCTGCAAGTAGCAGAGACCCATTCATTCCAGCATGGCAAAGGGAGACTGTACATGGAGGGGTGTTTCACTGGGTGGGGCACGTGCCGTGGAACTTCTAGAAGACGGGGGCCTCTACAAAGCTGGAACCTCCACAGGTATCGCAGAGAGCCCCTCATCAGCACCCCTACCCTGGACTCATGGCAGCTTCTCCCTGTGCGTTTCTTCTTCACCTGGTCACTTCCCCTTGCTGGATTGTAACTGACTTGGCAGGACTGACTATATTCTAAAGAGATATTTACCTATTAGACTGTCAAAACAAAGGACCTCAAGAAACTGGAATTTTCCCAGGAATCTCATGCTGAAATCTCAAGCCTGAGGCAGCCACAGCTTCTCTCCAAAACCCGTGTCTTAAGGAAGGAGATTTACAACCTTACAAAGACCATCATTAGGCTATGATGTGCTGGGGCCACAACTTGACCAAGACTGCTTGGACATGCACATCCTTCATCTCACTCAGGACTCTGAAGGTAGACTTAGACAGGTCACTGGATCTCCTTGTCCCCCTTCACCATGTGGCCAAGTTGAATAAATCCTTCCCTTTTTTTTATTTGACTGTTGTCCAGGACAGGTGACCAAACCTGGCTTTTCAGGGTACAGACTGTGACCCCCAAGGTAGGTAACAGAATAAGAGACTTTCATCCTTTGCACTCACACATTCTCAGGTTAAGGGCAGCAGGGACAGTGTTGCCCAATGGCACCGTTCTTTGACCCCCTCATTAGCCCATGCCCTGGCAAATCCTTCACCTCCCAGATCTCAACCTGCCACAGAGGCTGAGTTCTCTCTGGCAATGGTTGTGTTTAGGTGATGTCACAGGTAGAGCGCTTTGCTCTTGAATTATGGGCCATCAGGGAAGGTGAGGGACAGAGACAAGGAGGAGGCGGTGGGGTGGACAGGGGATAGAACAGACTGCATTACAGACTGGCAGGCCTGGGTGCCAGGCTCCAAGGGTGGTAAGCAAAGGTGACATTGGCCTTGGCCTGCAGGGGACCTGTGGGACAAGAGGGGGTGCCAGGATTGCTCTGTTCTCCCTGCAGGCCCCTCATGGCACACCTCCTGCTTCCCCTGGACACTGACCATTCTCACCCATTCCCTCTCGGAGCAGGTGACAGGTGACTTTCCTTGCCTCTACTCCTGTTTTCAGCCCAGTCACCCCACACAGATGACTTTCCCAACGTCCATCTGATCATCCAGAATCTGGGAATCAAGCGCATCTCTCCCTGTGTAACCTTAGGGAGGGCCAGTTCCATTCCTGCATCCCTGCAGCCTTGAGGATGAGGGTTGCCCTGCTCCCAATGCTGCTGACCCATAAGTGAGTAGGAGAGGATGAATTATGGTCACTTTTCACAAGGGTGGGATTTGGGCCAAGAATGGATGGTCCAGATAACAGCACATAAGGGTAGGGTGTCCCTGACCCCAGACCCAGGTGTCATCACTTTGTTCAGCAACACTTAAGGACACACCTGTGACTAGTGACTGCTCCAAGAACAACCAATGACCTAATCGTTTACCATTGCCCTCCCACTGACCACGATTATTCACTCTATACACCCAAGTGTGAGCAGCATTTAAGACTTGGAGTTGTTTCTCCCAATGTCTCCCTAGAGACAATTCTAACAAAAGAGAAACCTAGAGGACAATTAAAGAATAAAATACCAATTGTGCTATTACTTACAATGGTAAAAAAAAAAATGAAGCCATCTGAATTACATCAATAGAACATTCATTAAACAAATTATAAGCCATTAATGAAATGGATAATTCCAAAAGTATGTCAGGAAACAGGGCTGGTCACAGTACAGAGTGAGGTTGGTGGTCTCAAGTCTAAATCTCCACAGGTGAGGTCACCAGGGTCCAGTCCTCCTTCGGGCAGACCAGAGGACATGCATCTCCTAGGCCTTTGTCTCAGGAGTGGCCAGGAGCTCTGTATTGGCCAATGAAATGGAGGCGAGTGGAGGAGGGGGTGTCCCTTCCAGGTGGAAGCACCTGGGAGTCAGAGCACCTTGGGAGAGACTGCAGATTGGCACACTGAGATGATGGTTCCCTCGGGGAGAGTCCCTGTGTGTCTGAGGAGCCACCTCCCCTGCCCCGTGACCGCGGGGGAGTGTGTGGGGACAGGCTGTGCTGCTTCTCAGGGGCTGTTTGTTACTGCAGCGTCTCCAACCCTTCCTAACTGCCACATCCACATGAAAGCCACAGGGAGAATAAGTGCTCGTCCCGAATGGAAAGAGGTAGATACAGACAGCGCTCCTGTCTGGGGACGCGCTGGATCAGGCACCGTTCCACCATCTGTGTTCGAGCTGAGTGATCACTTCCTGGTGGAGATCCATCACTCACATGAAGAGATGTCGGTGTGACTCCCATCAAGGTCAGTCATCCTCCCAGCCACAACATCCCTCCTCCTCCCTGGCTCCTGGGACACTCCTCCTCTGTCCTGCCCCATTAGCTCTTTATTATACATCGTTTCTTCCCTAATGGTCTGCCCTGCGTAATTTAGCACTGCCATGAATTATCTCGGTCCCAAGTGCCTCATGTAATGATGCCTTTGGCCTGTTTCTTCATCTCCAAGTGAGGTGGTGGCAGAAAGGGTGGCTTCAGAGGCCCCTCCGTGCAGTGATCCCCTCAGGTGAGAACAGTCAATGCTGGTCCTCTCCGAGCTTACATACGTGCTGGACAGCATGCTAAGACTATCATCTATGGAGTGTCCTTCTACATACCTATACATCACATAGCCAGAGTTTTCAACCTTCTCACAATGTCCCAGCAAAGAAATGGAAGAACCGGGATGGAAACAGGTTGTTTCAACAGCTCTGGGAAGCAGGTGGTGTGGCTGCCACCTCCGCTGTGTTACAGAGGATGCTGAAGTTCAGAGAGGTTTGTACACTCATTCAAAGTCACACAGCTCCGAAGTGGTGGTTTCAAATGCAGGCGGTGTGTTGCCAAGTTCCTGCTCCTTTTACTCCATCCAGTGCCAGTCCTCTGCTGTGCCTGGACCCTGTGCCGGGGACTCCATGCTCTAACACAGGGCACAGTGTTTTCCTCCAGCAGAAAGAGAGCAATCGTGAGCATGTCCGTTTGCTGTTCCCACGCGCCCACAGCTCACTGTGGGAAGACGGTTCAAACTCATCAGATCCTAGAGTCCCCACAGCATCCTGCAAAGTAGAGACTGTCACAGCCTCCCTAAACCCCACCCCCATCATGGGGGAGGATCTGAAGTACATGGTGGCCATGCTTTGTCCAGTTCCCTCCACAAGTTCATCAGATTTCAGAATTCACCTCCAGCTGACTCACGTAAGCAGGAGTGCTGTAACCATGTTACCGAGAGGAAACGGGGAGGCGCAGGAAGACGATGCCACCTGCTCATGTCACAAGGCGGCTGGCTGCAGATCCCAGGCTATTCTTGGCTCATGGCTCTTCCAGTGAGAAGCCTGGGGGAGGAGCTGCCCACCCAGTTACTCCTTAGTCAGAGAACCACTGGCCCCCACACGCAGAATAGTAACTAACTGAATCCCTCCTCCAACTTACAACACACACACAGCTTCCCATACTTAACCCTGGCCCTACCCCATAGCCATCTTCAACTCACATGTAAGGGACTGAGCTCAGAGAAGTTAAGCAAGCTTCCCAAGGTGTCCCAGCAAAGAAGTGGAGGAATCAGACCCAGAAACAGGGTTACTCAAGCCTGTGGTCTAACCATTGGATAACACTGCCTTCCTCTGCTATGCCTGGAGCTTGGAGACAATAAGATGGGGCTGCAGGGCTGGAGAGATGGCTCAGAGAGCACTCACTGCTCTTCCAGAGGTCCTGAGTTCGATTCCCAGCAACCACATGGTGGCTCACAACCATCTGTAATGAGATCTGGCACCTTCTTCTGTATACATAATAAATAAATCTTTAAAAAAAAAAAAAAGATGGGCTGCAAATCCTCTGCTCAGATTCAAAATCAGATTATAAAACAAGGTAGGAGAGGCCAGAGGTCCAGTGCTGTCTTGAGAGCATGAACAGGGGCGAGCTGGGGGCTCGTGGTAGAAGCACAGGCCAGCATCTACAAAGAGGCAGTGTCCCCTGCCCAGGAAGCCCATGTTGAGTCACTTTGTAGTGTGGTGGTTTTGTGTTCCCCAAAATATTGTGCACCCTAATAAACTTCTCTGGGGTCAGAGAACAGAACAGCCACTAGATACAGAGGCCAGAAAATGGTGGTACACACACCTTTAATCCTAGCATTCCAGAGGCAGAGATCCATCCGGATCTCTGTGAGTTCAAGGCCACACTGGAAACAGCCAGGCATGGTGACTCACGCCTTTAATCCCAGGAAGTGATGGCAGAAAGCAGAAAGGTATATAAGGTGTGAAAACCAGGAACTAGAGCTGGTTAAGCTTTTAGGCTTTTGAGTAGCAGTTCAGCTGAGACCCATTTGGATGAGGACTCAGAGGCTTTCAGTCTGAGGAAATAGGATCAGCTGAGGAACTGGTGAGGCGAGGAAGCTGTGGCTTGTTCTGCTTCTCTGATCTTCCAGCTTTCACCCCAATACCTGGCTTCAGGTTTGTTTTTATTAATAAGACCTTCTAACAACTCATGCTAAATTGTAGCTGTGACCAGGACTATCTGCTGGACAAAACCCACCAGAGGCAGCTGCAGCACAGCAGCCTCCCCGCTGGGCAGGGCCCTGCTTCACCGGATCAAGCAGGAGATTGTCACCCACATCATTGTTCTACTTTTCACCGTCATGGCTGATAATGCTATGATGTCCACCATCTCGAAGGATCCACAACAAGGCCCGGAGTGTTTCCTAGCTATGGTTTAGAAAGGAAGTGTTGGAAGGAGTGACCCACAGTCTTGGGGACACAGGGATTGTGGGCCTGGATGTCCATCCTGATATGGGGGAGTGTGGTGTACATGGAAGTGAGGGTCACGGGAGACCCCTAGCTTCAGTCCAGGTGGTTAAAACAAGCTGGATGTCAGATGCTGCCACCCTGGGGGTTAGAGATGCCAGCCAGAAAGGTGGTCTGTGGTCTGGCTAAGCCTTTCTCCCCTTAAGTTATTTTACAAGTACTTGGTCACAGCCACATAAAACTAACATAGGAAATTGGAAACAGGAGTGGGGTTGCTGAGAGGAAACCTGACCACGGGGTTCATAAGCCTTTGGAACTGGTTCCGGGAGGAATTTGGAACAGTTTGGAGATCCAGATTAGTGAAGTCCCAGATGCTATAAACAGAACTTAGTGGATGAGTCTGTTGGTGGCTCAGAAGACCAGAAGGCTGAGAGGGGTGGACCGTGAGTACTGTGCCCTTGAGGTTTCAGATAGAAATGAATTAGACCAGAGGCCATTCATGTTACACTGTGGCAAAGAAGCTGCCTAACACTGTCTATGCCCTAAGATTTTACACAGGCTGAGTTTAAAGATGAAAATTTTATTTGGTAGAGAAAGGTCAAGCCCAGGATTCTGACTTTGGTATGGTTGTTGCGGGCTAGCTCTACACAAGTTTACAGTGAGAATTAGGAACAAAAAGTAGAACAGTAATATTTGGGGAAAGTACAGTCAGGTCAGAGAAGAAATGTCTTAAAGTTGTGGACAGTAGGGCATGATTGTTAAAGATATTAGGTCCAAGTATGGTGGTGTGCAATGGAGGCTGTAGTTGGAGGAGCTAGCCTGGGCTACCATAGAGATAAGCCATGAAAATAAGCCAAACATTTTTCACAGGGACAGTAAAAATGATGTCTTGGGAACACCTCTGTAATCTGTGACACCGACTCATTGAGGGCTGAGAAGGCACAGATAAAATGTGTAAGCTTGTTTAAGAGATTTTCCTTGGAAAAGAACCCCACTGTGGCACTCCGCTTCTTCTGGATTCATGTCCCGGTGCTCACTGCCTCTCTGGCCAGGCATTCAGAGGCTGCTTTGACCATGGCCCCAGGAGGCCCAGCTTCTGCTCAAGCTAGCAGCAGACCTTTGGTTTTGCAAGCATGCAACATGCAAGAGTTGCTGAGCTGCTTCCACACAGATTTCAAAGGACAGCCAGGGGATGCAGGCAGTGTAGGAAAGATCAGACTCTGTGTGAATCATCCTAAGAGGAATTCGCATGAAGTGATGAGAATGGAATAAAAAACATGA